GGAGGATATAGTAGTGGATGGCAACTTGGGCAGCAGCCACCACTGAGTTCAGGATCCTGAGGAAAGGAAGGAGATTAAGGACCCTGGACTTCAGAAAAGCAGACTTTGACTCACTCAAGGAATTCATGGGCAGGATCCCCAGGGAAGCCAGTCTGAGGGGGAGAGGAGTCCAGGAGAGCTGGCTGTACTTCAAAGAAGCCTCACTGAGAGTGCAGGAACAAACCATCCCAATGTGCAGGAAGACCAGCAAGTATGGCAGAAGACCAGCTTGGCTTAGCAGGGAACTCTTCAGTAAATTAAATCACAAAAAGGAAGTGTATAATTAGTGGAAACTTGGACAAACACCTAGGCAGGAGTATAAGAGCATTGCTTGGACATGCAGGGATGAAATTAGGAAGGCCAAAGTACAACTGGAGTTCAGCTAGCAAGGAACATGAAGGGTAACAAGAAGGGTTTCTACAAGTACGTTGGTAGCAAGAGGAGGATTAGGGAAATTGTGGGTCCCTTACTGAATGGGGGAGGCAACCTAGTGACAGAGGATGCAGAAAAGGCTGAAGAGCTCAATGCCTTTTTCACCTTAGTCTTCACAGGGAAGTTCAGCTCCCAGACTACTGCACCAGGCTTAGAAATGGATTCCTTGAGGATCTGCTCCATGATTTTTCCAGGGACTGAGGTGAGGTTGATTGGTCTGTAGTTCCCTGGATCCTCCTTCTTCCATTTCTTAAAGATCGCCACTATATTTGCCCTTTTCCAATCATCCGGGACCCCCCCAATTACCATGAGTTTTCAAAGATAATGGCCAACAGCTCTGCAAATCGCACTGGTCAACTCCCTCAGCACCCTCAGGGGCATCCTGTTTAGCCCCATGAACTAGTGCACATCCAGCTTTTCGAAACAGTCCCTTACCTGTTCTTTGGCCACTGTTAGCTGCTCATCTTCTCCCCAAACAAGAACTGGCTGCTAGGGCAACTCTGTGACTGCTGGACCACAGTGAGCAAAGGTGCTGCTGCAACAAGGCACAACCCCGAGACCCCCTTTCTTTCTCTTCTCATTCACCCACTGTTTGCTTCTGTAAGGCCAGGGATGAGGGAACCCCCCAGCTGGAGCTGTGGTATGCAACGCTGTCAGATGAGAGAGGAAAAACAGGAGAAAAGAGGACAAAACTCCAGAGTGGTGCGGAGGCCTCCTGCGGGCAGGTATGGAGGGAGGCGTCTCATCAGCCTGTGCAGTGGGAACCCAGTCACTGGCTGCCAGGTACAAGGAACCAAAAGCAGCAAAACCAACTCCCAGCTAAACAGCTGCTTGGCCCCACCATAGCAGTGGGGAACAGAATCACTCTCCCCTGCTCCCACCCCCAGGCAGCTCTCCCCTGGGAGACCTACCAGCTAATTTACAGTAGACGCTAGTTTACAGTGAAGAACAAACACCTACAGATTCAAGCCCACCTCCTGAAACAGACTGTCAAGGGCAGGAGATTAAGAGATTCCCTGTCCAGAGAGGCAGACCAGCACTGTACACTGCTCCTCTCTTCATCAAGTTCCTTTTCTCGTCTCTGGAGGATTCTTCTCTTCACCTAAAACCTGCTCCAGCAAGCAGCCAAAGTGATGCCCACCTCCCCTGCCTCCCAGGGCTGCCTGATTCCCTGCTTGGTCTTGTTAATGGTTAAAGAAAACCTAATCCAAGTTAAGGAGCAAAAATAGCATCAGCCAGGTGATGGCTCACAACCAGTGCCGATTCAAATCTGATGACTCAAATGCAGCAGCCCCCTCGCTCGCAGACCAGCGGCCACCTTCTTCTCATTTGCTCTAAATTATTGCTTAATGATAATGAATCCGCTGAGTTTGTTTATCACAATAAGTTTAGCTCTGTGTCAATCATTTTATTCATTAGCATTCCCCGCAAGCAGGCCTTGCCGAGAACAAGTCGGAGATCCAGCCTCTCACCATTTCTAAAAACAGAACTCAGGAGAAAAATACAAAAATATATCAGAGAGCGAGTAACTAATTACAGTAACCCTGCAGAGGCCTGACACCAGCACAGGTGTGTCCCTGCAGGAGACTCGGGCACAAGGACCTCGTTAGGCTGTGATGACTCAGTAGCAAATGCAGACGGTGTTCAGTGTCTCTCGTGCACACCCCCAAAGCTCTGATCTCTTAATACTAAGGAGTTTCAAAAGCTCAGAGCAGAGAAAATTAACAACAGTCCACTGGCAGACGGACATAGAGAAGTGTACAAGTGGGGTCAGATACCACAGTGACAGGCACAGCATAAAATAACACAGAGGGAACCATGACGCAGCTCAGATGGTGAGGTGAGGACCTGAGCAAAGGAGGAGAAGTGTGAAGGTGGCCTGTCTTTCATGACTGGTCAGGTCTAAGCTGGGACGTGGAACAAAGGTGATTGTTACTTAGAGTTTTGAATCCACGCCGTATGTTGCTCCCAGCATACCAAAAAGGCATAGAAGACAAATGCCCAGTGACCTGACCCTACAGCACACAGACTGCATTCACACTGTTTTTAACGCATCGCATTCATGAAGGTTCAGTTCATGTGACCCCATCAGCAAGGCAATGGCCACGGGGAAAGCATCATTTTGACTAACAAGCTGTTGCATGCTGCCGGGCCTCTCTCAAAAGGCACCAAACTGCAGCGCACTCCATCTCAGCACAGGCTACGAAGAGAGCATCAGGCAGGCCCTTCTGACAAAGGACAGGAAGGGATTTCAAGAACAAGGGTAGAAAACAATAAGGCGCTTCGAAACATTGTCAGGAGAAAAGTGAAAAGGCTGGGGATATGTCACCTGGGAAAGGAGACGAATGAGGGGAGAGGTGATTAAAAGTTAACAGAGCAGATAGAGCAGATCAGGAGCCTCTGTTTTGCCTGTCATGTGATACACAAGGGGACCGTCAATGAAAAGGTGGAAAATTCAGCACTCGACCTTTCACCTGAAAAATCAATATGCCAATTTAATGCTAATGATCTCAAAAGTGAGTTAAACCTTTGGTCTTACACCATGTCTCTATGTATAAGGGGTGAGAACGTGACCTGAATGTGATGAAGCCAAGTCTGCCTGCTATGGAGTTTTTCTGGTCTCTTCCTGAAGCATCTAGCAATGGTGGCTGTTGGAGACAGGACGCAGCTTGGATGGACGTTCAGGCCTGTGCCAGGCTGCACTTCCTGTGTTCCTCAAAAAAACACAATGTTCTACCTTTGTATGATGGTCAAGTAAGAGGCACTGAGACAAGAGCACAACCACAGTGAAAGGGAGGAAAACAGAACAACTTTCAGCCCAGACCGACCAGCATCAACCACACTGAAGCACAAGAAAAGCCAGTATCTGAAAGAAGAATAATTAAGAGCATGAAGCCCCCACTGGTTACATGAAACATCAGTAGTACATCGGACCACAAAACGGAGACACTGAAGAAGCTGTTTGTTCTGGTCTTTCAGCTCTAGATTTTAACCAGGGAGGTAGGGTAAGGGTTTGGGGGGTTTTTAATTGGTCGTCCTAGTCCAGGCCTTTATTTTTAAAGAGGTTTTGCAGTTAGAACCCAAACAATATGATCCTAAGGGTCAATTTTAAGATGATCCTGATCGAGACAGCAGGGAACAAAGAACTGCTGACCCAGACCCTTGTATCAGATATTAAACCCTTCACAGGCCAGTGTCACCTCTAGTAAGGAGAGGTCTCTCTTCCAGCTGACACGCATCACATGGGAAAAACCACTCAGCCTATTACACAGACATTTGTAAAACTGTTGCACACTTTAATAGCTCCAATTTGCATTGTAAAAAGCCCCCAGCAGGGCCCAGCACAGTGGCTAAGCAGTAAGTCTGATCCTAAATACAAACATGCTGTTCTTTTGCCCTGTGCACAATTCCACACAGCCTCTCCCTGAATGATGCTCGTGCTTTGTTTTGTTAAAAAAAGTTCATCTGGATTTGGATGCAGCAAATTCATTGTTTTCTATAAATTATATCAGTGAACATATTTTAACATGAATTCCATTCAATTTTACACTTACAGCAATTAATATTTATACACCTTGAAATGTTCCCCGCTGCACTGAGTGCCTTCTCTCAAAGTTTTGCCTGTGTGAATTCATAAGAGGGCTCCCCAACTCCAGTTTCTCCAACAGCTGGATCCAGCAGTAAGCATGCTTCAAATTCAGTCCTTGCCCAGGGTCAAGCTGCATTCAGCCTGCCATGCCTGTGGGGTTGCAGTGCTGTTGCAAGCTGGGGGTTCATTTCACACCTACAGCTCCAGGTCCTGAAGGTCTCCCCAGCTGGGCCCAATCCTCACTTTAACGTTCAGTTTCACTGAAAGCTTCATGGCGTTCTCCATCTCATGCTTGACAATCTGAGCTACCTACAAGGAAACGGTTGGGAGCATCAGTGCTTTATCAAGGGGCTCAGACCTATGTACCCCAGACACCCCTTCCACAGTCCCTATTTTGATTTGGAGCATGTATTTGGACTGATTTTCTACTTGAAGGGGGTCTTATGAACCCAGAGGGACAAAAGGAGAGGTTTTCAAAGGAGACAATTTCCCTGGGAGACTTGTCTCCCTGCTGCAGTCAGAAACCAGCTCTTCCAGACATTCTCCAAAGCAGGCCAAAGAGAGAAACTGAAGCAAATCATTTAATGAGCTGCCTCAGCATCAGCACTGCACAGATCTCACTCAATTAAATGCTTTCTAATCCCACAGGGTCTCCTCACACAGCTGCAGAAGCCTCGGTACTTCTCAGAGCCCATTCTGAAAATAATACAGCAGAGGCAAGATACAAAGGCCCACAAAGCAAAGAAAGTTCAGAGGTGAGGAGCGGAGCTCCTCCTTAGTGTTGGCTCAAGAAGGTACTCTGGGAAACCAATGCTGGCCCCTGGGAAAACAAAAGCGTTTTCCCCATAGTCTCCTAAGAGCGATGTAATCACATGGGCTTTCAACATGCTGAAAGAGCCATTCTGGCACATGGCATGCTCCAGTCATCAGGGGCTGCCAGCTTTTGATTCTGAAAAGCAGAACCAGGCACAGCACTTCCTGAATTTCCCAGGTCCTCTGGTATATACACCCTCATCTTCATCCCGGCACACCCGACTCAGCTCCCCCCTTTTGAGCCTTTGCCCATTTCAGACCAATGCCCTACACCCTCTCTCTCACACCAACATCCGAAACATGGAATCACGGAACTGAGGCAACAGAAAATGGTCTGCAGCAGAGAAAGACACTCTGGGTTGCAGCAAACGGTGTCAGTGTAGACAGCCCAGCAAAAGGACAAGAGAGGCGGCATGCAGAACATCCGAGTCTGTGGGTCTCTCCAGATGTGCAAGCAAAGGCACAATGGGATCTGATATGGAATCCACAATCACACTTCCTGCCATACCACATGCGATTGTGGATTGCATATCAGATCCCATTGTGCCTTTATCTGCACATCTGGAGACCACATGTGCATGGCAGGAAGCCCAACTGTGGGATTGCACATCAGATCCTGTCCTGCCTTATTGCACCATATGTCCCCGCAGCTGGGAGTCCTGTCAGCTACCATGGTTTGCCCCCATGGCCAGAGGCCTGTCAGCTGCCAGCTCCTAGGCTGAGGGGCAGATTGTACACCCCCATCCCCAGTTGAGAGCTCTGGTCAGATGACAGGGCTCCCAGCCCCAGGGATGCCCCTGGCCACATGTTCAATGAATGATGTGATAGGAACCAGCCACAAAGTTAGCATATCTTTTTTGTGGAATCACTTTGTAGCTTATTCCTCCTTTTACCACACCATTCACTGATTGAATGTGTGGCCTGGTCACAATTTAAGATGTGATGAATTGGCTACACATGGTAGGGGCCTGTGTGTATGTAATGGGAACCTCAGTGGGGGACTGGAGTGAGTGCTGGGCTGTGACCAGGAGTGGGCAGCTGAAATCAGGAAGCAGAACAGGAACACAGATGAATACAGCAGACAGCCATGTCAGGTTATCCTGAGCTACCCTCTCAAGCACATACCTGGAAAACTGCACAGAAGCTGTGTGCATCAGGGCCCAAGATTGCCTTCCGAGCCCAGCTGTCCGCATGGTGGGTTCAGAGCTCACCTTAGCACTGGAGGCTGCAAACCAGCAGCAACCCCACAATTACCTGCCTGTCCTGCACTTCCTGTTTCAACTGGCCAAGCACACTAGGAGAGTTGAGTGCGCAGACTGATTCCCAGAAATTTCCCTGTTACGCAGAGCCTAACACAATGTTCAGCAGCCACCAGGTAAGGTGTAGACAGGCTGGGCCTGCTCCTGGGGCTATTTGTTCTCCTGACTATGGACAACCCTTGGCATCGACCCTGAATGTCAGTGTGGATGCTCTCTCCATTCTCTGAAGAGCCAGAGGGTGAAGCTCCATTGCTTGGGGAGTTTAAAATGTTTGTTGGCAGAGGGAAACCTCCCAAGCAAATTAATCCTGCTTGGCCCCCAGGTGAAGGAGCAGATTGTTCCTCATTGGCAACGTCTGTGACCCTAAACCTGAGGTAGCTCCAAACACTTCCAAACGTTGGCACTTTTGTCCATGTAGTAGCAATAGGTATTTCTCTACCCTGGCAGGCAGACAGCAGGAGGAATCCAGCCCTGTTATTCCTGTACAGAAGCAGCCAGGGTGTTTAACCCACGGGATCTGTGTTTCTGCAAAAGTCTTGGAAGACAAAGCATTCCCAGTACGTGCCCTGCCCAGGATGCTTCAAAACCTTTTCCCCTCTGTGGGCTACACTGCAATTTTTTTTTTTAGTTGGCCTAGTAAAAGGTAACATCTCTGAACCAAGAGTTTTAGAGTTTTGCATTTCTTTTTGTCTCAGACCAACACGGCTACCAAATACATTTAAATAGAGACATTTTCTGATGAGCATCTTCCCCTGTTCACCATTGCACATATCATCCCAGTGACAACCATGGTAATCACTTCCACAGAGAAATATCATCATTAGGGAAGTATTTATATTTATGTAATTAGCAGACTCAGATGGCCTGGTGACACCTATGCTGTCCCCTGTGACTCTGAGCCTTGCCCTTCCAAGGGAACCAAACAGCAGAGAAACCCTGGGATTCCCTCAAACTGCCAGCACTTCCTTGATTCAGGGTTCCTCCCACATACCCCAGACAGCTAGGATCCAGCCAGTAGTCAATAAATCTTCCCCCACCCCTCCCAATCTATGACCCAGCATCTCATGTACAGAGAAGGGTGACCAGCACTATAGAAGGGCTCCTATATGAGTAAAGAACGAAAAAGCTATCTTTCTCCAGCTTGGAGTGGGGAGGGAAGAGATAATGGAGGAGGACTGATAGAGGTTGACCTTCTCAACTCCACTGAGGCAGAAAAAGATCTTGGAGTCACTGCTGACTCCAGGATGAACACGAGTTGCCAACGTGATGAAGCAGTTGGCAGAGCCAATCGCACCTTGTCGTGCATCCGTAGGTGCTTCACAAACAGGTCCAGGGAAGTTGCAAAGAGTTGCAGCAGATTCAGCCAGACTGCAGTAAGTCCCTTTTCAACTGGTGTAACCATAACCATTTCCTCTGCCCTCATGTTCCATCCTTCATCTTTTTTGTGGTTACTGGTTTGAAACCAAGGTCAGGAGAATGGGTGGACTTAAAGGCACAAGCTCTAACATCTTGGTCACCATTCCCAGTCTCCTAGGACCCTTGTTACATTACTGGGCCTCCACTGTCCTGATTCTGATACATGACCTGCCCAGACCAAGCCAGACAGACGGTGGATGAGGCTCAAATTTTGTGCCTCTGGCCATGCTTCAATCCATTCCCCATCTTTGTTGGTTGCGTTGTATCCCCAGCTGACGCTGTGGCTGTTAAATTTTCCAGTGACCACTTGTGCCTTACTGTTAGGGACCTACTGAATTTGTGATGGTGAGATTTTTGTGGAAGATGTGAATTTGGCTGGGCTCTGCAAAAAATGGCAGAATTGCTGCAAAAAATGAGTTTACAGAAACTGAATACTAACCTTGAGACTGGCAATTCATGCTAGCTATTAAATGCTGGCATGCTGCATCCAGCTGCAGTTGCTGCAGACATTCTCTGTCTCTTTGGGGTGAACACTTATCCATACACTGAGATGGCAACACTCAGTGTCCACTGAGTTAACTTTTTTTTTAATGGCTTCTGCAGGCTTAATCAATGGATTAGGTCCATGGAAGCCACTGACACGTTATCAATTCAAGAACTTAATTAAGCTCTAAACTGAAATATCTTATTAAAATAAAGCTACATACAACATGAATGGTAACTAATACCAACTATATACACTTTATTAAAGGACATTATAGAAAGGAGTTCATTGGAAGGGTGAGGCAGCGTTTTGCGGGGGCACAGAGATGTGGAAACCAGTCTAGTCTTTTCCACCTTTGGTGCCTGCCAATGTGCTGGGAGGCTGCTCTGACTGGGTGCTGTAATTACAGTGTGTTGAAGCAGACTTGATTAGTTGAGTCTGCTGGAGCGTGCTAATTAGTACGATCCAGCTAGCTTCCACATCTTGTGCATCAGCGTCCCCGTACTTCAAAATGGTGAGGGGGGAGGGGGGGGGGGTTAACTAAAGCTCATTTGACAAGCTTTAGGTAAAGTGTCCCTGCTGCCATTTTGAAGTAGGGGAATGCTGATACATGAGACACTCTGGGAGCTTTAATTAGAACGGCTCTCAGAGCCACTCTAATTAACTCTCTCCCACCACCCCCAGACCACATGCAAAAATGCACTGAGATACCAGTAGGCAACTTAACCTAACCTGGAATGGAATAGCTCTTGCCCACTGCCTAAATCCTTTCTACTCCGGAGTGACACTAGACCACACACTTTTGTATAAAACCCATGTAGAAAAGACAAAGGGCACAGTTAATTTCTGGAACTACATACTGAAAAAGCTCGTCAACTGCAAATGGGTGGCAATCCAACAACATTACCAACTACCACGCTTGCACTCTGTTATTTGGCAGCTGATTTGCCTGGTTTGAGAAAGATCAGCACATGCAAAGAAGCTAGACACAGTGCTGAACAAAAGTTGTAGGTGCATTACTGGATGCCATAAACTAACAAATGTCAATAGTCTCACTTATTCATTGGAATCTCCCCACCAGACATCAGGAGAGAAGTAGCAAGCAAAACAGAATGCACCCAGAAGATTGAAAACAAAGACAAAAGGGACCCATTACATGGTTACATTGTAGCTCCCAGTAGAATAAAATCATGGAAAAGTTTTCTCCCTACAGCACAGCCACTGGTTAAAACACCAATAGCCACACAAATAAAAATGTGGCAGTCATGATTAAAGATGACCCAGGAGGAGGTAGGATAAATATCAAAGCTCTCTACAGACTCAGAGCTTGAATGACC